ATCCCGTCCCCTCATCCTGTCCCGATTCAGTTCCCTGATCCTGTCCTCTGATCCTGACCCCTCATCCTTGTCCTGATCCACTCTCCTCATCCACTCCCTTATTCATTTCTCTCATCCTCTCCCCTCATCCAGATCCTGTCCTTTGATTCTGTCTCTTCATCCTATTCCCTCATCCCATCCCTTTGTCCTGTCCGCTGATCATGTCCAGTCATCCTGTCCCCTGATCCCGTCTCCTCATCCAGTCCCTTGATCCAGTTCCCTTATCCAGTTTCCTCATCCTGTCCACTCATCCTGATCCTGTTCCTTGATCCTGTCTCTTCATCCTATTTGTCCTGTCCCCTGATCCAGTCTCCTCATTCTGTCCCCTGATCCAGTTCTCTCATCCTGTCCCCTCATCCTGATCCAGTCCCTCGATCCTGTCTCTTCATGCCATTCCCTCATCCCATCCCTTTGTCCTGTCCCCTGATCCTGTCCCCTATAGCCCTTTGTTTCTGTCAGGAATAGATAAAGCTCTTGTGTGTTTGCTGATAGCATGGATGGAATTTCATTGCTCTGCTGTAGGCAGCTCTGTAACAGAAATTTTATCTTGTTTCATTTAAATTATAGCCCAACCCATAGTGTTTCACAGGCAGTTGCTCATTTGAGACTTAAATCAATGGATAAACAATGTTTCACATACTCATCAATCATTGATATCACCTAAATACAAGTTTTATAAAGCAGCAACATTGCAAAGGATCTTTCTTATTCTGTGTAGGTATCACAGTGCTTGATCAGAAGAACAGTTTTTGGATGCCCTCTAACTAAAGGAGGTTCTGGTCTGGTTCAAAAGACTAAAGGTAAGAAAATATTTGTTTGGGCTTCTGCCCTGTTTCACCCTAGCACCAAGATGTAATATTTCTTGCAGGAATTTAGCATCTCTTCTCTGAATCCTGTTTCTCTTTCTGGTTTTCTGTAGATGCTTGTTTGAGGTTCTGCAGACCACAAAGTTCTACAGCAGCTGCTGGCACATCTGGAGAGGATACCTTGCTGAAGTGGGGCCTTCTCCTTGTCCCTCTGACCACGTTTGGTCTTGGCACATGGCAGGTACAAATAAATATTTCATTTTTTCAAAAAATGAGCACTTGAGGACTGTCAAGTTTTTCCATCTGTTTGATCTAGCTCATACAACAGGCAGGTTTAACGATTTGCTGTTATTTTACATTTCTGTTTTCCAAGTGTCCTCTTGTAAATCTTTAAAGGAAGTTTTTTTTTTTTTTACACTTTTATTATAGCATAAATATTTCCTCAAATTCAGTAGCCTCTATTTTCATATCTCAAATTACCCTGATTTAGGCCAGGTCTGATGAGAAAATTATGACCAAGATTTTAAGGCTTGCTGGGCTTGGTATGTTGCTCTGTTCTACCCTAAGGAGTGCATTTTGTGTTTTTTATTTCCAGGTTCAGCGGCGCAAGTGGAAATTAGATTTGATTGCACAGCTGGCATCAAGAATCCAAGCAGATCCCATCCCTCTGACATTAGAGTATGGAAACAGGGATGGTTTGTTGTCTACAGAGCACTGACTGGGAATATTTTATATGGACCATGAACTAATGAGCTTGTGCTGAACTGACCTGCATGAAAATGAAGGGATGCAATGGAAATTGGGATGTGTCAGCAAATTAGAAAGAGATCCTGATAATTTTTTTATTTTTAGTAAAAGGATATGTCAGTTCCCCTAAATGCATGGGGAAGGATGAATCTCTGTTCAGGAGAATGTGGGATGTAATTCATAGCATTTTTAATCCTGCTGGGGAAAGAGGACTTGGGTGTCTGTGGTATCCCAAAGAATTTTTACTGCAACAGGGAGTCTTGGAGCAACAGCAGGCCCTGCCCTACTTGTGGAACAGTTGTGTCAGATGTGAGAGAGATTTTTTAAGGTCACTTGGTCACTTGGCACAGCCCTCAGAAGGGCTCAGTTGTTGGATTTCATGATCTGGGATGGGAAAGAAACTTCTCATGGCTGGATGCACAGCCAGTGAGGCCACCTGCTCTGTGATACTGTGGAAAAGAGCTTTTCCCTGCATGCTCCTGATCATCTCTAATTGATTCTCTGGGATAGTTGAAATATATTAAGCCATATTCCATGAGCTGTTTGTCTTCTCTCTCTGTGTGCCAACAGGCTCCATGCAGAGCAAACCATTAGGAAAAAGGAGAATCCCACAATAAAATCTCCTGATTGAATTCACCTAGCACAGCCATAATTTTGTTTTCCTCTTGTTCCATGCAGCCCCATGGAACTGAAGGAGTTGGAGTACAGACCTGTGCAGGTCAGAGGGCGCTTTGACCACTCCAAGGAGCTCTACATCCTGCCCCGCTCGCTGCTGGACCCCGAGCGGGAAGCGCGGGAAGCCGGGAGGATCACATCCCGCCCGGAGAACGGAGCCAACGTCGTCACCCCCTTCTACTGCACAGAGCTCGGGTGAGTTAGGAGAGTCCTGCTCCGTGGGAGCACTCACTTCTCCTTGGAAAATCTGAATCCTGGTGGTTGGGTTTGTGTCTATCACTCACAGAATTCACAGAATGACCAGGTTGGAAGAGACCTTAGAGATCGAGTCCAGTCCATGTCCCAACACCTCAACTAAACCATGGCACCCAGTGCCACATCCAGTCTGTTTTTAAACACATCCAGGAATGGTGACTCCACCAGCTCCCCAGAACTTTATCACCCTTTCCGTAAAACACTTCTTCCTAATATCAAACCTCTATTTCCCTGCCTTAAAAGGCATCTCTGTCTGTGACATCGCTGAGGCTCAGTGTGAAATTAAATTTAAATTCCTTTATAATGTGCACTCAGGTGACAGCAAAAGTGACAGCAAATATGTGGGTTGCTTCTTTCATTGGTCTTTAGTTCTAGGCAGCAGCAGGAATAAATTCCCTTTCACTCCTGAGCAGTGCTTCTTTATGTAACTCTAGGGTCACAATTTTAGTCAACCGAGGATTTGTGCCCAGGAATAAATTGAACCCAGAGACCAGGCTGAAGGGACAGGTAAGGGGGATCCAGGGAATGGGGGGTGTTACTTTGTGCCCCTTGGTTACCCAGAGGCACCATCACTAACCCAGAAAGGCAGGAGCTATGTTCAGCATTGATATACTGATTCAACATACATGATTTAATTAGTCATTGCACTTTCCAAAGACAATAAATCTTTGTTTCCCACCTTTTTGTTAAGTAAATAATGTGGTTTATGAACAAGGAGCTGTTCTTGTTCTTTTTTCCCTGCTGTGTTACAGCACTGCGCCACTGCAGGGAACCACTTCATTTATGCTCAGACCTTTCAGGTGCCACATTTTCCTTGATGAACTTGATGTATCAGAATATAAAATCAATCTTGAAACATTTATTTCTGCACTCCTCCTCAGATTGAAGATGAGATTGATCTCACAGGGGTGGTGAGACTAACAGAAAAAAGGAAACCCTTTGTGCCCGAAAATAACATTGAAAAAAACCGCTGGCATTACCGGGACCTGGAGGCCATGGCCAGGGTGACTGGTGCTGAGCCCATCTTCATTGATGCAGATTTCAGTAAGTCACAGAATAACCCAGCCCCATATCCAATTTACATCACTCTCCCTCCCTTTCCCTCAGTTCTCTTCCTGTGTTCTGCCAGCCCACTGTTTTGGAAGCTAGAGAGCTGGAGAAGGACTTTTGTCAGGAGCAACAAAGATAACACAAGAGGGAGTGGCTTCAAACTGCCAGGGGGCAGGGTTAGATGGGATATTGGGAAGGAATTCTTCCCTGTGAGGGTGGGGAGGCCCTGGCACAGGTGGCCTAGAGCAGCAGTGGCTGCCCCTGGATCCTTGGAAGTGTTCCAGGCCAGGTTGGACAGGGCTTGGTCTAGAGGAAAGTGTCCCTGCTAATGGCAGGGGGTAGAATGAGATAAGCTTTAAGGTCTTTCCAACCCAAGCTATTCTGGGATTCTGTGAAGTTGGGAACACCACTGCCTGAGGGAAAGCAGGTTGTCCTTCAGATTAATCACCTTCTTCCCCTCTTACACACAGTGCAGCTCCACACTGTGCAGATAAGGATTTAACTTGGCTGTGTTGTCCCCACAGGAAGCACAGTCCCAGGGGGGCCCATCGGGGGCCAGACCAGGGTGAGCCTGCGGAACGAGCACATGCAGTACATTGTCACCTGGTAAGGGACCAGCACAACACACGCAGTACACTGTCACCTGGTAAGGGACCAGCCTGCCTGGGAGCCCTGCCCGAGCTGCTCTGGAATGCCTGGAGGTGCTCCTGAGCTACAAAAGCCCACTTTGAACCTAACTAGCTTGTGCCAGGTGGTTTGACTTGGTTATTGCAGCTGTCTTAGGGAGGCCCAGTCCACCCTGGAAAGGTGCCAACGTGTGATTTTCTCTCACAGGTATGGTTTGTGTGCTGCAACTTCCTTCCTGTGGTATAAGAAATTTATACAGAAGCTTCCCGTGTGAGGGGAAGAAACATCTTTGTGCTACAGTCAAGAACACTTTTATGGATGACAGGAGCCTGATCAGTCATAAATAACTGAAGCACCTGGAATTCCGAAGCAGTTTCAACAAACATTATCAAGCTGCAAATAGACTTTAAGCAATCCCTGCAAACTGAGCTCCCACCACTGTGATTTGGCTGCAGCTTGGGAGCACTGAACTTCAATAGTAATCACAAGAATACATTTTTCTAACATGGTTGGTTGTTCAAGTAGGCCTCCCTGAAGTCAGGAATGGCTCACAGAAGTTTCAGAATAAATAAAGACCTCCAGGTCTTTGCCTTGTGACACTTGCATCATGCATCTTCCATGGAACAGCACTAAACCTCAATTAGAGGTTACTGTGGACACTCAGGTGGGGAAGGCAGCCCAGGGTTTTGCAAGAGGATGAGGGCTGGCAAGAACAAGCAACTACCACAGCTGGAGCCTTGGTAGCCTCCACAGTGCCACCAGACCAAGTCAGCACTGAGGAGAGTCTTGATTGTTCCCCCCTCAGTGTGCCCTCACTGCCAAGAGGCAATTTAGATTTGCAAAACCAAGCCAGGCTTAAAAGCCAGAAGTAGCCCAGCCCCATCAGCTTCAAAATCCCATGTGCAGCTGAGCTGCTGGGCTATGCATTCAACTGAGATACTACACAGAACTAGTAATTAAGGAAGTGTTCCTTATTCTATTCCAAGGTAAGTAATAACCAGCGCTGTGCAGCCGTTTCTGCCCAACACTATTCTGTCTGTCACTGGATGGAAGGCACAGCAATGCCACTGTGCCTTGAACACTCTCATGAACAGAGACCACTGGAACAGCTGGGGTTTATTATGTACAGAAAACACGGTGCAATGCAGTACATCTTCAGCCCAGCTTTGTAGCCAGCTCTTTAGCCTTTGCTTTTTCCAGCTTCGCAATGCGAGCCACCGATTTTGGACCCAGGACATTCCCGCCCCAGTGACGACGGATCTGCAAGGAAGGGACAACAAGTTAGAGACCTCATTCCATCTCCCACTGTGGCACTCAATTCTGCACAAGGGGAAGAGCTCCCTCAGCTAAAAAGTCCTGCACATTTCAAGCATTCCACTACATTTTGGGGCAGCAAAGAGAAAAGTTTAAAGTCTTTCCCAATGAGGGATATTGGATTCAGCAAAGCCTTAACTTCTGGACTTGGGATATGGAATTTAGGTAGCAGAAGCTGTTGTTTCCTTCTAATCTGGTCACTGCTTTCACATGTTACCCCATCAGATAAAGAATCTGGATACACTGTAAGCAAAACTAGGTGTAACACAGCCAAGTGTAAACTGATATTATGTCCCATTTCTTTCTTCTGGGAATGTTAACAGTGTAAAAAGGCCAGCAGCACAGAGAATATTACCTCATCATATCTGTCATTGTAGTTGGTCTTGACAGCCTCCACCAGCTTTGCAAGGGCTCCTTTATCCTCCCTGTTGATGACAGTTTTAGTTCCTTTAGAGACTTGATTTTCCATAAATATTTTGCCATCGAATTTTAGAGCTTCTAGTGACAACCCAACTTTTCAGGTTAAGCAAAGCATCACTTATAAAGGGTTAACCCTCTAAAATCTGAGGAGTGCACATTTTGAGTAAGCACCCTTTTGGTAAACCAAAATAATCTGCACCTTCAGGATTTGATAGACATTTTTAACAGACACTACAAGGTGGTATTTAAATGTTACTATTTCAGAGAGACCCAAGTTTGCTACCCACCTGCCCTAGAGTCTGTTCTTAGGGCACTTTGCTTTCTCCACAAGACAATCAGGTGAGCTCCCAGAACACTTACGGGTTAACCTGGGTGAAGGCCACAGAGGTGCAGGTCTTCCTGTGGACCAGCCTGCCCAGCCTGGCTTTGCCCTTGATGATGCAGTAGGGAACTCCCATCTTGCGGCACAGGGCTGGCAGGAAAACCACCAGCTGAAAGGGAGTGCTGAGTTATTGAGGAGAACATCCCTTTGTGCTGGCTGTCAGCCTGGGCTGTGCCAATTGCTCAGTGTTAAAAAGCTCGTTTTGCTCTTCACTGCTGCTTCAGGTGAAGAAATTCAAAACATCATTGCAAGGGCCCAGCCTCACTGTCCAACCAGGACAATTACAAACATGCACAAGCAACCAGTTCTGGCAAATGTGTATTTTTTTTGTGCATTCTCCTTCATGTAGATTGTCCTGAATTCCATTTTCCCCTTAAAAACACTTCTGACCCCAGCAGAAGTTACACAGGTAGCCTGTAACATGCTCACCTCAATAGGGTCTACATCGTGGGCAATAACAACAAGCTGAGCTTTCTTGTTCTCCACCAGAGTTGTGACAGTATTAATACCTGAAAAACAAATTCTAGATAAGCTTTGATTCCTCTCAGTCCATTTTCAGAGCTTTCTTGCAAGCCAACTCTGATTCCACAGCACAGCATCACTATGGAAGTTACAAAAACTTCTCACATCAGTGGCACAAAGGCATTTCATGGACAATTTGCTAAAGCTCAGGGTTAAAAAGCTCGTCTATTTTGCTCTTCACTTTGAGCTCAGGTGAAGAAATTCATAACATCATTGCCATAGCTTGTCCAGGCTGGTCGAAGGAACAACTCTTCCATCAGTTTTCCCTCTCACAAAGTGCCACACTCTCATATTCCATCAGCTCAGGTACAAAGTTACCTGCTCGGAGGACTGGTGGCCGCTTGGTTGGAGCATCTCCCTTCCCTGCAGCTTTCTGCTCGGCACGAGCCAGTAGCCTCTGCTTCTTCTCTTGCTTACTTTCAGGCCTGTATTTGTGTGCCAGCTTCAGAAGCTGCGTGGCTGGAAGAGAACACCTGCTAATTAGTTGCATGACCTGAAAATCTACGTGTTCTTTCTTAAAAAAATAATGCAGTGCATCAGCGATCTTGGTGGTTGTCATCACTTTTTTTCACAGCAAAAAATGATCATCATCTGCACAGTCCAAGAGAGGAGCACCCATTTACATGCAGCTCTGATGGCACTGAGAGCTCCTTGACTGGATGAGGAAATGCCTGTGCACCCCCACAGTGTGGATCTTTTAAAGCAAGGAGCATCCATGAGGAGGAAGTTATTCTACACAAGTCCAAAGTTTTTTGCATTCACAGGAGACCACTAAATCCCTTCTTCCTTCAGTGCCAGTTTTCCCCTAAAACCTGCACTCCCATAGATGTCTCAAGCAATCTGTTTATATCACTGTGGGGACATCAAGCTGGAAGAATGGAATCACAGTTAAGATTTAATGCAGGGTTTGGGTCAGTAAATAAAACTTGGGTATTTTCTGTATCCCTTTTCAGGGTACACAGCAGCAATCTAAGGTTGAAGCCAGCAAACTGATTTTGACACCACCCTGGTCACTATCAAAGCCTCCCTAAATCACTTCTGCAGACACAGCCCAGCTTACCTTTGTTAAGGCTCATTTTGGTTTCTCTCCCCTTTTCTGAGGCACATCCCATTTACAACCCAAGCCAAGAGAACCTTGTGGGGCACATCCTCACCTGTCTGGCGGTCCAAGGCCTGGGTGAACTGGTTGATGGCAGGAGGCACCTTTAGGCGTTTGTAGAGGATGGACCTCTGGCGCTGCAGCCGAATGTAGCGTGGCCATTTCACAAACCGGGTGAGGTCACGCTTGGGCTGGATATCCTGTCCTAAAAAAACACAGCCTTTAGCTCAGGGCTGCCCCAAATCCAGAGCAGCAGCACGGCAAGGCCGCAGGAGCATCAGTGATCTTGGTGGTGAAGTGTCAGCACGACCACTCAGATAGCAAATATTCTTTCACATCATCTGCGCCTCGTACAAAAACAGCACTGCACAAACTCTGCAGTGGTTTTTAATGTTTATAACTTCGACATCTGTTCATTGAACAAGAAAAATCATGGGAGCAACTATCCCAAAATATCCACTTACTCACCGATGCCAAAGTTCTTGGGCCTCTTCTCAAAGAGGGGATTGACAACCTTCTTGGCCTCCTGCTTCTTGACTACAGCAGGGGCCGGTGCCACCTTCTTGCCCTTGGCCTTCTTTCCTTTCGGCTGCAAACAAGAAAAACACTCTGCCTTCTTTTGCCTCCAAAACTTGCGTGTTTGGAAAATTTACCAGCCCACCAAAGAAATGCGTTAATTTTCCCAAGCACTTCACCAGCCTGGCCTCCCATGCTCGCCCAGAGAGAGAGGAAATTCTTCGCTTTACACTTACAAGGACCCCGAGAGGGAACAGGATTAAAACGAGCGTGATGATCTCTTCCCCGAGAGCAGCCGATACCCCCACGGCGCGTTACGGACCACCAGAACCCGACGTACCCCGGGAACGCCCGAGCCGGCAGCAGCCGCAGCCTCCGGGCCCGCACTGCCAGGCCCATACGCGGCCTTCCCCCCCCCATCACCGCAAATCGGGCACCGCTCCACCGCCTCCCCCGCCAGCCCAGCACCCTCACGGCGCTGCCGCGGCCCATCGGCGGCGGCGGATGACAGCGGGCGGCCGCGGATGGCGGCGGATAGCCCCACATCCCCGGCGCTGCTGCCGTCACTCACCATCTTGGGCGGCGGGAGAGAAAGGCGGAGCGGGGCATGCCGGGAGATCTTACGGCGCGCGAGATCTCGCGAGGTCTCGCGAGAGCGCGGGGCCGTGAGGGGAGGGCGCGGCCATGGCGCAGCCCCGGGTGCTGCCCCAGAGCAAGGAGACCCTGCTGCAGTCCTACAACAAACGCCTCAAGGACGATGTCAAGTCCATCATGGACAACTTCACCGAGATCATCAAAACCGCCAAGGTGGGCCTGAGCGGGCCGGCCGCCCCCCTGGGAGCACCCCGGGTGCTAAGTGGAGAAGGGCGGGGGTACGCGAGGAAGAAGGGGCTGTGAGGGGAGAGCCTTTCGTAGAATCCCCGAATGTTTAAGGCTTTAAAGGGACCTTAAAGATCGTCTGGTTCCATCCCCTGCTATGGGCAAAGACGCCCTCCATCAGACTAGGTTGCTCCAAGCCCTGTTCAACCTGGCCTTGGATACTGTGTGAATTGAACTAATTCACATACAGATGGGAATTTCACATGTATCATGTGTGATCTTGTTTCACATCTGTAGGAAATTCATGCACATTTCCACATGTATAGGAAATCCAGACACATTTCCAGTCTATAGGAAATTCACACACATTTCCACATCCATAGGAAATCCACACGCGTTTCCACATCCATAGGAAATCCGCACACGTTTCCACATCTATAGGAAATCCACACACATATCCACACATACATTCCCATATATTGTACCTTATAACATAGTAATTGTCTATTTGAATTTTAAATATGTAAAGGTGGATTTGTATACTTTTTTTTTCTTTAGATCGAGGACGAAACTCAAGTTTCTCGAGCAACCCAGGGTGAACAAGATAACTACGAGATGCATGTCCGAGCTGCAAATATTGTGAGTAGCACTGTGAGCAGCACATCCTACAGTGGCTGCTGGGTTCATTTTTGGATCTTCATAACACTCCCAAGGACTGCTGCCAGGAGAGTAACTTCATGGTTAGGGAAGGTTGGGTCAGAATTCTGTCACAATCCTCATATTGTGTGAGTTTTTATGCAAAGTTTGGGCTGACTTGGGAGATCTTGGAACTGGAGCAAAGCCCTGTTCTCATGTGTGATTTTTCTCGCTGCTGCAAGGTCCGAGCTGGCGAGTCCCTGATGAAGCTTGTGTCCGACCTGAAGCAGTTCTTGATCCTCAATGATTTCCCCTCTGTGAACGAGGCCATCAACCAGCGCAACCAGCAGCTGAAGAGTCTGCAGGAGGAGTGTGACAAGAAGCTGATTGCACTGCGGGATGAGATCTCCATTGACCTGTACGAGCTAGAAGAAGAATATTACTCTTCCAGGTACAAATAGGGCAGTGGACTCTGCCTTACAACTCCAGGCCTTTTTGGGGTAGTTAGTCCAGACCGTCAAATAGCCCTTAGAGTATAGGTGTTGAGAATGTTCCCAAAAATTTTTCAGTCCTGCTTTTAATTAGGTCAAACTCTTTTTCTTCAACTAAAGCAACTGTCTTTTCCTTGTAGATACCCTACAGGGTTTAAATGTCCTGGTGAAGGAGGTGTTCACAGCATCCCAGGTTTGATAGGTAATTTCCTTAGGCTTCTGTTGCAATCATTAGAAAAGAAGATGAATTTCCCTGGGGGAGATGCCTTTAAAGGAGCCTCTGGCTCTCTCCCTGCTGATGCCAGCTGGTGTCACCTCACCTTCGTGGTGAGTCCTTTCACAAGTGACCTGGTCACACATTGTGCCTTTTCCTTCAGTCCACTGCCCCCAGCTGCCTCCCGTCCTGCTGGGGTCAGCATTTGCAAGGAGCAGAAAAACTTGCTCAGTTTCATTCAATAATGAAGTATTGTGATAGGATTTTCTAAGGAATGACTTATTACGGATTTGTTTGTGGGATTTTTAATATTTTTAAAAGCCTCTTATTTAGCAAACAGACTTTAGAGAATTCAGACACTTTATTTTCTTTTTTTTGTCACGCACTCCAGCACTTCTAGTTAATTAAAGTAGAAGAAAACAAATTTAAACTTGGTTATTTTGGCTGCACTTTCCAAGCTAAGTGAAATCAGTGCAATAATTCTAGGACTTTTAAACAAACTTTAAAAAATTTTACTTAAAATTTTACTGACCAGGTTTTCTATGTTTGCCTTTTGCATTTTTCTAAGAATGCTGAATGCCTATAACCCAGTTAAGTCAACTAAATTGCTCAATATCTTTGAAAGTAAGGCCATTGTTTATGAGTAATATATGTATTTTAAGAGGAAAAAGATAATAATATGACACAGCTTAGAGGTAAAAGTTTAGAGTTGTTTTTCCAACTTTATTCAGTTTTTTGAGAAGGTTGTGATGATCACAAACCCAATCACCTGTGCAGGTGTTGCTAGGTCCATGACATAGCAGTGAGCTTATCCAGAGGGATGTGGTGTGGGATGAGAGTGCCCCACGTGTGCCAGACATGCTTCCCTCACCCTGTCCCGAGACTGCCACCTCTGTGTGCTGGTCACTCCCACTTTTGGACTGAGGGGTGTGGGGCTCTGAGATCACACAGGTTCTGGCCATGCTGGCATGGTCTGTTCACCTGCCTGGCCCCAGGTGCCACATAAAGCAACCCTTGCTGGCAGAACTAACATGGAAGCACAAGTCTTGGTGTACATCAGATGGGGCTCTGAGATCACACAGGTTCCTAGTTGCTGACATCTGCAGTTTTGGAGAAATCCTGCAAAGTTTGGAAATGTTGAGGTCAGGACACCACAGTGGGCCAGTGCAAGTGGCTGCAATTGGAGACCATTTTCCATGGGAAGAAGAAATAATTTTCTCAGGATCTTGGAGGTGGAACCTCTAGTTCCACCTAGTTGCTGACATCTGTAGTTTTGGAGGTACCATATAAAGCAACCCTTGCTGGCAGAGCTAATATGGAAGCACAAATCTTGGTGTACATCAGATGGATTTGCCTTCCTGCTCTATCTTATGGGTCACGAGGTGAGGAAACCTGTCAGCTCTGCAGAGCTGTGATCTGGCCCTTTGTCATCATTTAGCACTTGGTCGTTTGCTTCTTCCCTTCCTGTGCTCTTTCCTGTTTTTTTCTGCACCAAAGAAATTGTGTCTGTGTAAATACAGAAACAGTGATTTATTCGAAGTCCTTTTATAATTAGAATACTACAATTTTTTTAATGAAATCTTATTGTCTAATGTGGGGGAAAGGGTTTCTGTTATGTCACAGCCATGTTTCGGTGGCTGTCAACACAAGAGCCTGTTTGCCCCCAGAGGGCTGTTCCTTGCTGTCCTGGGAATGCCTGGGCAGGTGTTTGCCAGGCTTTTTATATGTGCACATGGGGCTTTTGATGAGACCCAAAAGCAAGTCCTTGAAACCCGAGAAGATTGTCCTGCAGGAATCTTTGTTTTCCTGCCCTGTGATCAA